AGGACTACATATTATTTTTCTTCTCTAGGTTAGCAGACATAACGAAAATAAGTTTGACGGAGCATCTAAACGATATCTGGAAAACCAACTCGGTCAACAATGACAATACGCGGAGATAATAACCACTAGTGTAACCCATTCCTTCCACACATGTTCTAATGATATCAGAACGTACAATAGTTGTCTCTATGTGAAGATATTGACTGTTGATAGTAATCACAAATATTATTAACTTAAGCTAACCTCACTCATAGTCATATAGCATTTAAGTCTTAACACCAAACCAATTACAAGAAATTTCCTTTAAGAAAAATAAGGTAATGTACTATATCTCATTAATTTAGTAAGCAGACTTAGTCTATCATGATCAATTGCATTTCGTATAAGAATCTTTTTTTTTTTTTGATGTTAGAAAACAATCTATCAACAATAAGATATTTCATCTTTCTATCTCTATATCCTAATAATTTCAAAACTTCATAGACTGTATAATTCTTTCACACCGTAATTTAAACTCACTGGCATTTTATCATTGCGGTTTATGTGTAAAATAAACCTTATCGATCAAACTCAAAGTGGGATTCAACCTTTGAAGCTTCTTCTCTGGCTAAGTACTTACAAACTTCATTTATCAAATCAAAAGTTGTCTAAACTGTTGCACCTCTGAATGATATCACAACCATATAAGTATAAGTATTGTATTCTGAATTCCAGAATACAACAAGAGCTGTATAGCGAATGAACTTACAGTCATGCAGTCATGAATTATAGCATTTTCTAAATATTCAAATACTAATCAAATATCCGTCAATATCACCTAATATATATCAATCAATATAATCTTAATCTATGATATAAGGTTCTATTCTCATAACCAAAGAATGAGACCACTTGTGGCAAGATTAAATACATGTTATTACTTTTCGAGTACACCGCAGAATTATCTGAAACTGATGTCAAAACCTTTATAAAAATTCTCGATGAAAATTAATTGTTTAAAGTCATGCAGAATGGATCTTCAATCAGTGAAACACACAACACTGAGTTACTCAACAGATCCATACGTAGTCTATGTGGATTCTGACATACAGATTCACCCTTCAACGTAGGTTAGGTTAGGTTCGGAAGGCACGTGTTAACCGTTGTCAGCACTTCCACTCGGAGGCATATATTGCAGTGATGCCCTCAAAAAATTTTGCCGGTAGAGACTCTTAAACGTTACACTGACCTAGTCTATTTATTTCATAATAGGTGAATATCAAATTTATTGAAACTGCAGCAGTCACAGTTATACCCCCTTAATAAAAGGACTTAATAACTTTAATTAAAAATTTATTATAATTATAATAAACTTTATATTATTGTGATACAGCCATTATTAGAAATTTTTATTGTGTCTTTATAGAATATAACTTTTAATAACTCCTCCTAAAATCAAGTTTATGCTGAATAACATTAAAAAAGCATTTCAATCTGCTTTAGGTTTGTAGGTGTATTTGCCTTTAATCTCGTAGGTATACTGTAACCGCAATTCGTGTTAACTTGTTCATTATAAAAATCAGCAATTACACTAGCAGCTTCCATATCAGCAACAATAACAACAACAACAACAACAACAACATCGACATCAACATCAACATCAACAACAGTTTTTACAGCAATGGTAACAAAATCAACGGCATCGGTGGCAAACATCAATCGATTATGTTGCTGACTTAATTGAAATTTTGCCATTAACGCGTGTAGATATTCCATAGAAATACACAAGAACGAGAAAAAAAAACAAAAAACAAAAAAGGACATGTATAACAAAAAGGACAAAAGTAAGAGCACCAAATATGGTCCTGATTGGAATTGATATCCACCTTTTAATTGAGTTTTGCTTGTATATCTCATGTTTCAAACATTTCATCAATATAACCATTTTCTCCAACCCATGCCGAAAATGCGAGTATCCTTCCACAACTCCTTTTAATTCATTATTGTCGTTGTTTTTTTGTGTGTTCCTGGTAGTATTTTTTTCGCTCCTCCTGCTTCTTGTTTATGATTCCATAACTGCTTCAGAGGCGTCAATTGATCAACGTTGATGCTGATGGATATCAAATTTTGCTGAACGGTTTTGCTCTTTGCTTTCTATTTTAATTTTATGGTCAAAACACTTGCTGAAATGTTTATACTCTTTTCACACCAACCAACTGAAATTACACAAAGGATAATTGCTTGTGTTAACAAACTATATATAATAAAAGTTAGCTTCGCATTATATTTGGAAATTTATTACTTGAAAATTATTATTATGTATTAGATTATTTTAGTTTTTTGTTATTAAACAAAACTTTTTATAAATGACTTTAAAGGTATTGTACTTTACTCTTCTACCTTCGTTTGATAGTTGCAAGGAAACATTAGAGCAGGTTCTATAGTCAGCTAAATCTCAATAAATTAATTAAAATTTTTGTTGTCGTATCTCTATTGTTGTTTGAATCCTTCTAACTTGAAAAAACTTTCTTTTTTCATAAGACACGTCATATTTGACTTTAAATATTAAACTTAAAAAATTAAAGCAAGTTGCTTGAAATTATATATAACTAAGATATCAGCATTTAGCCGCTGATACAGTCCAATGACATCGGTTATTATTCAGATTTGTTTCAAAATTAAGTAAATGTATCTTATTCTGTCCACTTCGTAACAGTTAAACAAAATAATGAGCAAGATAAAAGCATAGGAGGGTTACGCTGTACCTATAGGCAAATTAACCAATGACTCGATATTGTCTTTAGTGTTTTAACCCATCGTTGACCACAACTAGTTCAGAAGAGGTTCAGAAGAGGATGTGTGAGCATATTTGAGCAATGATAATGTTAAGAATGAAATTTAAAGGCCGCAGTATATTAAGTATGTAAAGCTAGCATAATCATTAGAACTTTATTATTTAGTTGAAAATCTAAAATAAAAACACAAGTAGATACCGAGAATAGAGTATTGAAGAAAGAGTTAGATGTATTAAACCTAATCTATAGTAAAATAATAGGAACTTGCTATCTCAATGGAGCTTAACCACAAAACTATATACAGTGACTCCATCGCATAATCGGACAAGCATTTGTTCGATATAAATGTGCTCTAAACTTTAAAAAAAATGGTAAAAATATGATTTTTTTTTGCTTTAATTAATACTTAACATACTTATTTATCTAAATTTAAAAAAAAAATAAAACACTTCTCGTAATAACTATTAATTTAAAGTAAAAAACAGAACAAACACTATTTTTTGGGCTCAACGTATAATCGGAACGTTTTTTGAATAAATGGAACGAAAATAAAACAATTTTAAAAGGTTGCTTAGTGCTTGCAAATAGCACTTGTACCAAAAATTTAAATTTATTCACTTTAACTTACTCAAAATTCAAAACTTCTCACAAGCAATTTGACAGGTGACAAAAACTCGAACGAAAAAAAGTGAGAAAACAATTCACCACAGTTACATAAACACTTCTAGTGAGTAATTGTCAAAAGTGAGAAAATCGTTCGAGAAAACGAAGTGAGAAAGTTACATAAACGAGCCACTGGACTCTAGAACCATGAAACATTTTCAGGGTTAACAATAGTCTTAGTTTACCTTGACAAATTTAGGAGTTTATCTGAAGATATATACACCTCATGGCTTACAGTGTACCACTGCTACTAAGTGTAATGCAAAAGCATCACGTTTCTTTACTAATTCTTTTGTGATCTAGTGCAGTGAATCATTTACTATTTTCTGATACAAGCTAAATTACACACATGTCTAAAAAAATTCAGACATTTGGGAACAAAGATCACATGACTTTAACGCTAAGGACGACGCATGACTTAAAAGCATTAAAATTAGCTGTTTAATATTTAGTGATTTCTGTAATAATACTGTAGTAATTTTAAAATATATCACCCTCCTAAATTTTACCAACACATATATTAATTATTTAATTTTTGGAATGTCTAAAAAGCTATAATAAGAAAACATAATGATATAAAGCACGGAACACTCGTATTATATTACTAAAGCTCACGAAATTTCTTTTATATTTTCTATACACAATAGCTATTGTAAGGAACCTAAAATTCTATATATTTCTTTAAAAAAAATTAACGATTTTTACACATATATCAAATTTTTCAATATCTTTGTAATATATCCCCATATTCAAACAGACAAAACTTCTTTCATATAGACAGCACCATAAGTTTTGTTTTCTTCACTTTGGGTTAGAAGATTATCACATTATTCTACTAACTATACGAAGAATTCTTCTACGACATAACAATCTTTTTGTAAAACTTGCATATTTTGTTCAATTTAGAGTTTTTTTGATCAATAGTTGGAACTACCGATAGAATTACAAGCGATAAAAGAGTAGATGATATGGTCAACAAAACTTTTGATTCGCTATTTAATATAACTGAATATAGCGTCCCAAATATTGGAAAGGGCAATGTAGACACCGATCTATCTCCTGATATAAATTCAATTAAGACAAATAAGGCTTTAAGTATTGTAGTTTTTGGAATTTTTGATGAATTGACAATTAATTTTCGGAACAACTATCTCCTCTTAGTATTGATGTAACTTACATAGCAAATAAATATCAATATTAGTTAAGAAGTTAACATTATACTTTATGAATTTATATTATTATTTAATATAAATATTACATTAATAATTAATATAAATACTAATTAATTAAAAAAATTCTTTTTACACCTTCCGACACTTCCGCTATATTTTCATCCAATATTTTGCCATCAGAAATGCCTAACATTTTAAAAAAATTATTTTTTATAAATATATTTTGGCTTCAGATAGTTGTCTTTACCATACCTTCCGACACTTCCGAGGTATCTACGTCCTCCCATTCACCATCAGAAGTGCCTAACATTTTAAAAAAAATTATTTTTTATAATTATATTTTGGTTTCAGATATTTGTCTTTAACTTACCTTCCGACACTTCTGAGGTGTCTACATCCTCCCATTCATCATCAGAAGTGCCTAACATTTAAAAAAAAATTATTTTTTATAATTAAATTTTGATTTCAGATAGTTGTCTTTAACTTACCTTCCGACATTTCCGAGGTGTCTACATCCTCCCATTCATCATCAGAAGTGCCTAAAATTTCAAAAAAAAAATTATTTTTTTATTTATGTTTTGGCTTCAGATAGTTGCCTTTAACTTACCTTCCGACACTTCCGCTAAATCTTTATCCAACATCTCACCATCAGAAGTTGTCTTTAACTTAATTTCCGGCACTTCCGAGGTGTCTTTATTCCAGAATTCACTACTAGGAGTGCCTAACATTTTAAACAAATTATTTTTCGAAATTATAATGTGGCTTTAAATATTTGTCTTTAACTTACCTTCCGATACTTCCGAGGTATCTACATCCTCCCATTCACCATCAGAAGTGCCTAACATTTTAAAAAAAATTATTTTTTATAATTATATTTTGGTTTCAGATAGTTGTCTTTAACTTGCCTTCCGACATTTCCGAGGTGTCTACATCCTCCCATTCATCATCAGACATGCCTAAAATTTCAAAAAAAAAATTATTTTTTATAATTATATTTTGGCTTTAGCTAGTTGTCTTTAACTTACCTTCCGACACTTCCGCTAAATCTTTATCCAATATTTCACTATTAAAAGTGCCTAACATTTAAAAAAATTAGTTTTTATAGTTATATCATGGCTTTAGAACTTGAATTTACCTTCCGACATTTCCGCAATGTCTTGAATTATCAGTGCACCATCAGAGGTGCCTAACATTTTCAACGAATCATTATTTGATGGTGAACCTTGGAATGTAAATATTGATGGTAAAATATCCCAATTTTGTTCTGCAACATGACTGTTTTTATAGGCCAATAAATTTCCGCCAACATACACTGTTGACGGATCTCGTTGATACTCGTATAGTGTAAAAAGTGAAACCTTTGTTGTCAAGTTACTATCAAAACTTTCAGATATATGTACATTTTTGCGTTTCAATGCTTTTTTAACTGTATAATCCATTAAAGATATTAATTTAAAGATTGGAACACCAAGCAGAAAATTATCATTAAACTAAATTACATTTTTTAATGGTTTTAAACTGAATCTCCCAATTGATACGTAGAGGGAGTTACAATTTTTTAAATAAATAAAGCATAATTATTTATTATAAATAATTATAATTATTATAATTATTGTTTCATAATTACTAAAATCAAATAATCACCAATAGTTGGTAATTATAGGTACCTATAGCTTTAGAGAGGTGCAACCATTAAATAATTATATTCGTTTTTGATCTACACTGGTTATAATTGTGAAATTTACTGAAACAGTATAGACTGCAACATAGACACTATTGAGGATCACCTGAACGTATTGCTATATTTCTTTTGAAAATGGAACATATACATATATTAATCAGAAGAAAACAAAAGGGATCTACATCATTACAAAACATAATCAAAACCCAAGAAGATTACATGTTAATAACGCTAAGATAAAACAGGAAAATACCTTTATAATTGGGATTTTTTATCTACAGAACTTCTCCTGAAAAAGTCATATGCCATACGCAAGCTTAGGCTATCCAAACACTCCTCTCGCTTTTAAATAATGGCAAGCTCAATAGTAAAAATTAATTATCTATATATCAGTATAATAAATAGTGAGGTCGACCTTACTTATTGCAAGGTTGCCGTAACTACACTTAAGATCGATCAAAATAATCAGTAATGTAAAAAACATCATTCAGGATCGCATGAACGCATTGTTCCATTGCGTCCGCAAATAAAAAATATATATTAATCAGGAGGCAACAAAAATGGTTTTCATCACTAGAAAACGTAACCAACATTCAAAAAATCTTTTATCTTAAATAAGATAAATGCGATGTCGCAAAGCAAGCTAAAGGTCAGTCCTTAAAAGAAGTTCCAGAAGTAATTTCCAAATAGTAAACTAGAATAGATGTATATCATCAAAGGAGGACCTGTAAATCTGTAAAGACAAGTAATATGGTCAATAAAGTTAACCCTATTTACCAGCTGTTGGGTGCAATAATATGAAGTTAGAATTATACCGTGTAAAATAATATACGAGTATATGATATGGTACTACAAATCCTATCTAACCTACAAATATGTACTGCTGCGTGTTACAAAGAACAAATACACAAAAAATATATACTTTCTAATAATACAATAGCATGTTTATTAGTGTCTAATATAATCCTTGTTTGTAAGTATATATGTATACAGAAATGTGTATATTTTCTCACGTTAGCACGCTTATGAAGCCTCACGTTAAATATTAAGCACTGGGGCTTATGTCCTATAGGGACCCCTGAATTCAATAAGCCAAAAATACAAAATAAATACAATTGACACGATTGACATTTTTAGAACGTTGAAACCAGAAGTTAATTAACTTTATAAATATAATTAATTTAAACAAAATACTTAATTAATATCACTTCATTCACCTTCCATTATTTCACAATAATATTTTTACTAAGGCAGCACAAAACTTAATAGCATTTCAAAAAAACACTTCGCGCCAGCTGTACTAAAATTGCAGAGCTGCATTTTTCTTAAATCTAAGTTAAGCCTGTGTTCACACAACACAGCCGTAATTTCGCGAATAACGCTATAAAAGGACCAGGCAGCACTTATTTAAAAAAATATGAATTTCAGTGAAATAAATAAAAAAATTTTAGTAGAGAGAATTATGGCTTTTTCGATCGGTAAATTTGGATTCAATCTAAATTTACTTTCGATTTATTAAATTTTGTTGCTCAATCAAACGTTATTAGAATAATCTAACATTTTTATAGTACCGTTAGTGGAGATTTTTATTTTTGAAAAATACATATATCGAATCAAATCTCACTTTATTTGTCAAGTCCTATAAAATAGCTATTAATTTGAGGGTAATCTTGCTACTATGGCAAAGTGTCTAGAGTGTCATAAATTAACCTCAAGTGTTATACAATCCATCCGAGATTTACCAATCGAAAATGAAAATTACACTTAAGGTGAACTGAAAAAGCTACCCTAGATTTATCAATCGAAAATGTGATTACAAACATCTGAAGACAGATATAGTATGACCTTAAGCGTTTATAGTTTATTTAAACATTT